TGTAACAAGGTAATCATGTAGTAATTTAACAAATACTCTTTACACGTTATTGACCTTTTATTGTGTTTACTTTAGCATTTGCCAAACTTTTATACCACATTTCTGTTAAGTGATTTATTCATTTATATTAATTAGTTCTTTTTCATTGCTGCATTTGACATAACATGACTAGCGTGGGTGAGTGGGGATTTACAAAGTTCACATGCATGTTTGGAAGTTCACACCCCACTTCCTGTGGCTAAATCTGCACTGTTGTACATTGTAACCACCTGTAAAGTGATGGGATGAAAAGTGATCTATTTAGATCTATTTAGTTTTGCACTGGAGCTACAGTGCCAGCGTAGCTAACAAATAATGTCCTATTTGGTGCATAGCCGACTGTGTAAACTACATGGCTAAAGCATCACACATGACTTAAATTGTATGAAGTTGTTAACTAATCTGAGACTTGCTTAAGTAGTTTTTGACACTGTATGACATACTGGTATAATTGTGTAAATTATTCCTTTAAGCTGGATCTGTAATCTTGATGGTGATCATAAAAAGTGGGCAGCAATGCTAAACAGTTTTCCCGGCTACACTACTACTGTCTCATCCCTCTGTTTTTCAGACCATGCTCAAGCCTTGCTTACCAAGCTTTACTCTTCTTGTCTTAGAGTTTATCCTAAATGCACCTGTTCCAGTTAAGCAAGGTGTCACACTAGGTGGGTACTATATTGCACTATATTCCACCAAATCAACATCTCGCCATGTTTTCATTATTATCACGTTTCATTTTCACTTTTACTTTTCAATTAAGTGAGATAAATACCTGCACTTGCTTCAACACCCAGCTTCATGTTCACTAAAGTGTCTTTGTTGGTATGAAGAGAAAGTTTGACCTACTTACCGATGTCACAATTTTCCAAATTGTTAAAAACTCAAAAGCACACATTGAAACTCATGACAGTAAGGGTATAAAATGTGTGGGTTTGGCATTTTTCCTGAAGCATGGCATCAGTTGTTACTTTAGTTTTGTGAGTTTTTGAAAAACACTGTATGACATACTGGTATACAGCAATATGTAAACAGCTTTTTATTATTGCAAACTGATACATATCACAAGGATCCCAAGACTGGGATTGAAAACCACTATACCAACTGAACCATATCAACCATGATGACCATGACTGCTGGTGTTTTTCATTAATTAGGTTATGAGGGGTTCTCATGCCTGTACTTGAGCATTAATTTCTGTATGGTGTGCAAAAATAATGAAATCTTGAAGAAAGTGGATTAACAGGGCCTCTGAATAGGAGAGAGTTTAGGGAAAAAAACACTTGCTAATATTTTGAGGTAGTATTGTCAGCAAGTGCACTGAACAGTGTGCAACCTTTTGCTCACAACCCCAGCGTTGTCTTGACTAGAATTCGTCTAAAACCTCTGCAGGAATGTTTCTCCAGGTGCAGGACCAGCCATGGTCTACACTTCCTCTAAGTTCGTCTTCTTCCCATTCACTCCTCCCTCTCATCTCCTCTCCATCATCCCTTCGTTCAGTTTTTTTTCTCTCAGCCACCTCTACGTTCTTCTCCTATTTCCAGGCGTCATATTCACACTCTTGCTTTCCATCTTGTGTGTGTGTAAACAGATCAAGAAGAAACACAGTTTGGTTCGTATGATCAGCGAGAAAATTCTCTCTTTATTGTATTTTTCTGAAAAACAAAAACTGTTGTTTTTTTGTAAGTCTCTGGTGTTACCATTTTCATAATTCTGTACAAGGGGAAAGAGAAAAAAGCACTGCATTAGGTACAGACTGAAATCCTCAAACTAGAAAAAACCTTCAAAATGAAAATTAGAGAAAGTTTACATTACCCATTAGTATTAAGACATTGTCCGAAGTGCAATGGTATAGCTCAGATGAGTTTAAGAGTGGAAAAAAATGAAATAAAAATACTCTATCTTAAACAAACAGTAATATCTTTACAGAGAGTAGAGACACATCTTCTGGTGTATTTAAAGTAGTAAAAACATATTTACAAATAGCCATTCTCATATATATATCTTTTTCATCACATATATAATCAGCACCAGTACAAAATAAAAGCCAAAAAAAAGACAACATTGATGACTTTGACAGAAATGACGAACTACTGTCTGACTTGGTCCCAGGATAGCTGATATTTAAGAACGAGGCTGGAGAGGGCCCGTCACACCCGTCAACCCTCTGAAAAGAGCAACAGCAATACTATGACGCCTTAACACTCCTGAAACACTGCAGATGCTGTGGATGTGTTCCACCTCTCTTTGATGAAGAAATTCAATTTAAAAAAAGGAGCAGTCACCCTATTACATTCCTTAGAAGGTTAGAACAATCAAACTAGATTTAAATAGACTAGCTATGCTGCCATGACACAACACACACAAAGGGGGATAACCTTCCATTCTTCTTCTTCTTCTTTTCTGTAGGATTTCTAAGTCACATCTTCCCAGCTTGCTGAAAAGAATGTGGTGATGAAAACTGAAGGCTTTTTGGTCAGATACTACAGTATGGAGGAACGATAGTAAAGACACTGTGAAACTCAGTATATTGGAACACAACACACAAAGAGAAGCCGTCTCAAACGAGTAAGCTAAGGTTGTGAAGATGGTTTAACAGGCATGGATGGCATCGCCAAATTACAGGTGGTCAAATACAGAGGTTTTACAATTGATCACAAATAAGAACTACGTGAAAATGTTTACAATTTGAGAACATCTCTTATAATGAGTGAGAGAGAGAGAGAGAGAGAGAGCAGAAAGACTGTTAAAATGTGTGTAATTGAGGCCTGTAGAAGTAGTGGGCTTGATCTGATGACCGATCCCCTTTCTGGAATATAGTTTAGCGAGAGAATAGAGATAAAATACATGATTGAAATTGAATTATTGCCAAAATACACTGTCAAAAGATTTGCCTTAAAGGTTGATTTATATTTCTGCAAAGATGCACATAAACATATCTACATTCATGGGCAAGCGTAGGGGTTCACACACAAAACGCATCATGCGAAACTGCAGAGCTGTGCGTCAAGCAAACTCTGACTGGTAGCATTGAGAACCCAAAATCAAAATAGAGCAGTTAGTATTAATTCTTGGGGACAACAGAGGAAAAACGTGAGACTTTCCTCATCCTTTTCTTTGCATTTTGGTTTGGACACTTCCCCCTAGTGCACATGCTCATGTTATGTGCAAGTACTTTGGCACATACCCATGCAAACATCTGCGTATGTCGTCTGCACGTATTCAAAGATACGCAGATGCTGAAGTACAGTAGCAAGAGACCAAAATGACCATTAAATGGAAGTTAATTATTCTTCAGTAAATTCAGTAAATATTTCTGACGAGATCAGGTATGAATACTCCACTTGGCTAAGGGAGAGGAAATATGTGGGGGAAAAAAAACAAGAGTTTTCAAAACTGGAGTTTACCAAATTAAAAGATGGAACTCCAAACAACCATGCAAGCTTTGGTCACCCGTCAGATAAACAGTATTAAGACTTTATCATCACATGAATGTTTTTGATATTACTTGGATCGTGAGAAGCAGAAAGTACAACCAACCTCTAAGACCGAACTTTGGAGTTGTGGAAAAATATCCCTGCAGATTTCTTCGAAAAACTGAAAGCAGGTCTCCTGAAAAGAATGGAAGCTGTAAGAAAAGTAAAATGTGGACCCACTAAAGAATGAAAAATGTGTCGTTGAGGCTTTTGTGTAATTATCTATTAAATATGTTTTAAATAAAATAAAAAATGTTTTCTCCCTATTCCTGATACTGAAAAAAATGAATATTTAGTACGTAACGGTCGTTTTATTAAAAATAAAATAAATAAAGGGTGGTCTCTGACTTCTGTACAGTACTGCACAAAATAAATCGGCTTTTAGACTTTTCATTAATTGACATTTCTGATCAAACAAAACAAACAGAATTCTTCCAATTAGATGGGAATGGTCATTTCTATTTTACTTTTCATTTCTGTGTGAAAGACTAACCTAAACTAAAGTCACTTGTAGAAGCTGTTACGTTCACAGCCCAGCTCTGGATGGCGTGTGTTTGAGAACTGTGTGTTTTCGGCCCATACGGGTGATGCCATGCTTGTGTTCCTAGCTGCCATATGACTTATGAGAAAAACATAATCTCTTCCAGCTTTTTGATTTAAGGTGGAGAGATAAGTTCATAGCTGCCAAGTCTCTTTGATTACTGTTAAGACGCACACACATACAGACACATGGCTAACAGTGGTTGCCCAGCTACAGCAGAACATCCATGATACCCACGCTAAGGGAAAACAAATCATGATGCTTGCAGTGCAAACACAAAAACACATGCATTCACACACACACACACACACACACACACACACACACACACACACGCACACCCACATATACTCTCACACGCAAAGCAAAGCGGAGCGATGGGCCACAACATCAGTTTCCAGAGAGAAGGAGAAGAGAAAGAGATGTAATAGAAGAGTAGAGAAAGAAAAAGGAGGATAATGTTTGGCTTTTCGAATCATTGTTAAAGACAAGGGATCTCTTGGGAAGGTGACTGTGGTTGTATTTTGTTTATGCACTCTCTCTCACACACACAAACACGCTTCACAATTTGTTGGTGACTAACCAAACAGACTTTTGTGGATGAGGGTAACATCTTGTCTAACCAAAACTGAACAAAACTCATTCTGTTTCAGAATTCATTTCAGTTTTTCAGTGTGTCAGTCCTGCGGGAAAGCTCAAGGGAAACTGAATCAGAATCTTTACATTAAAATAAACACTGCAAAACTGGAGGAAAGATGGGCACATGATTAAGTCTAAAGAGACTCGGCTTCTAGAGGAGAGCATAGCTCAGAGATTGTTGGTTTAAATATAGTGACAGCACACGTACAATACACAACATGTAATATTCTTCCCAAATTGTAGAACATTAAATGAAAACAAGAAAACAAAACACATCCATAAATCCTTTCCTTTTTTTCTTTACACTTTTTTCCCGGCCTGTCCCAAAACCTTAGCATGTTTCCATGTTGGCTATTGGCTGGAAAAAAAATCCTCCATCCAACCGTCCGTTGAGTCCAGCTCTGCACCATCCGAAAGGCCGAAAGAGACCCCGCCCCCAGCTCCCGATTGGGCGCCGTAACCGTACGCCAGGTCCTGATTAGACGTCCGTTGGTAGCCTTGCGGCTGACCGCCTGACATATAAGCCCCTCCTCCTGGCCCTGCCCCTGTCATCGCCTGGGCGGAGCCCTGTCCGAAAGCCGTCATGTTGGGCATGCCGCCCTGGCTCATGCTGGGCATCACCATGCCTCGCGGCTGGCCAGTCCGTGGCTGGCCAGCCATGTGCGGCATCATGGGTCCGCCCATGCCAGCTGGGTTCATGGCCCGTGGGTCCACCATGCCCTGGCCCCCCATCCCTTGGGCAAAATGCTGCTTGGGCATTCTTGATGGCTGCCCGCCTTGCATTGGGTAGTTGCTGTTAAACGCCACCATGTCGTTTGTAGTCCTTCCGCCCAGGGCTTGTAGATTTTGCGGCTGCTGCTGCTGCTGTTGGGGCCACCCCTGGCCTCCACCTCCCATCATGCTTTGCAGTCTCTGCGCCTGGGCTTTGGCCATCGGTTGCCCAACACTGCTTGGCTTCATCTGCTGCTGAGACAGCGCGGGGTTCATCAGCATGCCCTGACTGTAGCCGCTGCCCCCAGCCCCGCCCGCTACCATCCCCTGTGTGTTGTTGCCTGAGGGTCTTTGCCCCATGCCCATGCCACCTTGGTTGGGGTGGTGCTGAGGCTGGAGCATCTGCCCCATTCCCGAGTTCATGCCCTGGTACATGCCTGTCTGGCCACCTGCCTGGCTCCCGTAGGCCACGCCCATCTCGCCCTGACCAGGCATGGGGCCAGAGTTCTGCACTGGGGTCATCTGTAGGATGCCTTGGCTCTGCTGCTGCTGCTGCTGCTGTAGGAGGCGAGCGTTCCTCATGTTCTGAAGCGCCTGGTTCCGCGCCGCCATCTCCTGCGCTGTGCCTACAAGGACACATGAGAAGACGTGAGGACCATGTGGCATTCAAAGAAACTTCATCCCTAACATCAGCAATCTTAGCCTTCTGTATTTTGTGTTCCTTTAACCCTTCGCTATGAAACACTAGATTGCTAGAGAGTGCAGATTCTATCCTTTCAGTCAATAATGTATTTTACAATGATTTGTATTTGATGAAAAGTTATTTTGAGAAAATTCTTGTTCAAAACTAAAGAAATTTGAAGAACAAAAAGAAGTACAGACTTAAAAGACTTGAACCTGAAGTGAACCTGTCAAATGTGAGTATAACTGCCTGGGTAACTGTGTAATGAATTATGTAATTATGAAGGCTGGCCCAAACAAGCGTTTTACAGGTTTCGGGATACTCATTGATAGTTCCATCTGATGGAACACATATGCTTCCATATTAAACAGTGCTTCATGGGCTGCTCTAGATTCGCGTTCATCACATCTTTTCCCACATTTGCATGCGAGTGAAGCACGAACTCCTTAGAAACTCCATAAAAATCACACACTCCCACTGTCTACAACATTCTAAACTATATTTTAATTAATATTCTACTATAATGTAAAGATCTTGTTGCTGTGGTAGCCGCAGAGCAGCCCCTGCGCTGTACTAACAGACTGCGGAGGAGATTCTTCTTTGATACAGTGGAAAAATGTTAACGTTATTTCGTCTAAATAAACAGATCTGATGTTTCTGCTGTCAAGTTTTAAAAAAGGAGAAAAATTAGCTAATATTCCCACCTAAGGTGAGTCAAAGACAGTGTGGACTCTTATTGCAAATTTTGTACAGAGCATTTTTCTTATTGCTCAATAATTTAAAGTGTTTCCACACAATTTTTTTTTAGCTTTTAACTTCAACAGCCACATGAAAAGTAGTGCAGTTTGTTTGCTCTGAGATGAAGCCCAATGGATGGCTGGCATTCTTTATATTTTTTTTCTCCGTTTTCCATGTATTAAAAATAACTGTTCTATAGACTCACCTAGTCAAATTAAAAAAAAATTGTTTTTTTGCACACATCCTTTTACAGATAACACACGACTGTACATTTTAATGCACAATTACTGTATATTTTGAGTTCAACATATTGAAAAGTTATGGAACATTTTATATTTTATGTTTCATTTTTTGTCAAACTTGCTATGTTTAAAATACCATATTTAAGTTTGTTCACTGTAAAGGACTTGCATTCATTTAGAAAATCAACAAAACATGTTATTTGACCAGGAGGTGTTCAAACCTTTGCATATTGCTGTATCTAAAGGCCTTTGCTGATGAACCTTATTTTAGGCTACAATTTATATGGCTTCCGAATACTAAACTGAATACCAACGTAACATAGAGTATTCAAATTATTAGGGCCTGCCCTGGTAATAACATGAAAATAATTATGTAATGTATATGAAAAGTATAGAAAAACGACAATAATTAATCTCTAGGCTTATAGGGGTTCATCAGTAAACAGACAGACAATAACTATTAGTAGTACACATTCATTCACTAAAAAACAACCATCAATCCATCAAAACATTCTACATGAAATATAAAGACACACACACATACACAGCAAATCACCAGCACACCATCTGCTGGTACATAAACACAATGAATGGTGCTTCTCTATCAACTTGGAAAGGCTCTATCTGTCCTGATAATCCACGTCGACTTAGACTGAAATTGTACAGAGAAATTCGGGGGGCCAAGTTGCCACGGCAACAGGCAGAGCTTCCAGAGGGAGAAAGAGTTCAATCCTGCCAATAAATATATAAATAAATAAACAAACAAACAGAAGCAGGTGATGCTTTGAGGAGAGGAAGCTGGAGTGCAGAGTGGAGAGGAGTGAGCTTTCAGGGGCTGAAACTGAGCCCATGGGCAACTCCACTATCACTACAGGAGTGCATGTGTGTGTGTATTCTTTAGATTTGAGTAGTACACAGTATTACACTGTGAAGCAGAATTTATGGCTCATCCAGCTTGTGGTGATGTATCTTCTGGAGATAATTTGCTCCCAGCAGGTGTGTTGAATTTTCATCCGAAGCGAGTGACAAAAACAATGGTGTTCAACCAAACAAACATTGTTATGCTGCCACATTAACATGCTCAGTAGATGCAACGAACGACGGATTAATTACGCTGTCAACTTACAAAACTCGGGTGCTCATTTCCTCAAGAACACTTTCTTTAAGAACAGCAGTTCACCTATAATTTAAATTAGAAATAAAAGATAGTGTGTTCTCTATCTGATACTGCTCTAGCATGAATCTCAAATCCAAAACAATGAGTGTGTTATCACACACTCAATAATCCGATCATAATCGGATTTCTGCAGTTATCTGATTACTTAAATGGTCATGTAAACAGCATACTCTGATTTCTTAGATCAGAGTAAGGTCTAAAAATCTGATTAAAAAATCTGATAAAGAGTGCTGAATTTGGCTGAGTAATCAGATTTCTCAGTGCATGTAAACTCTTACTCAGATTTCTTTCAGATTTCTCGGTCTGCGCGTGTGCAAAACAGACTGCGGTACCAGAAATAAAAAAGCAACGTTGCTGCAAAACACTTTTGGAACGATACCGAAAACAACTACATGCTTGACGAAATGAAGGATTTAAATATTGTTCATCTTCTAGATGATGGATGTTTATATTTTCAGGCAAAGTGGTGCGATGGTAAAAAAAAAAAGCCGCAGCATGAAGTTTGAGTTTTACATTACGTTTCCGTTACATCTTCTTCTTTATTGGCTGGTTGCAAAGCAGAAATCCGATTACTGTCTGATTCATGTAAACCCAGAGTTTCCTCATTATCTGATTACTCGAATGCATGTAAACATGTTGATTGGATTACTGACAAAATTTGATTTTCTGCAGTTATCGGATTATTAAGTGCATATAAACGCACTCACTACAGAATCCAAAAGCAATATAGAATGTAAATTGAATGTAAATGTACTTCATTACATAACCAACTACACAATAATAATAATTACATAATGTGAATCGAATGCATAGCAAAATGGTAGTAATAACTCTACACTAAAGGTCAACAAGTTAAAAAATAGGCAACAAGTTTGATTATTGGTCCTTCTTCCACAACAAAAACTCACCTAATACATAGTACAAAGAAAAAGATCTAAATGAAACAGGCAGGCGTACTCCAGCACTGATACATAAACACAATGAATGGTGCTTTTCTATTAACTTGCAACAGCTCTATCTAGATTGTCAGTCAATGCTGACTTGGTTTTCAGTCATGTAATGGAGTAACACAGGGACAAAACGTTGTGGGGCCAAAGCCTCTCTAAAATGGTAACTTTGCAGGAGTCTTAGTCAATGTTTCTAGTCTACATTTTATTAACACTTAGACAAAGTAAAATTCTGACCTGACTGAGATACAATGAGCAGATATATATCCTAGTTTGTAGGATCATCAGAGTTTGTACCACATTTCAGCTCAAAAGTCTGTACTAAACACATGGCATTTATGTATTAATGTCACATCTGTATATGCATGTTAAAGGGCCCATGTTCTATCTTTTTCATGTATTTGACTTTATCCCCTTAACCCCACTCATAACATTAGTGTGTTTTTTGTATGAAAAACTTTTATAATTCATTTTTACATATCTATTTACCAAACCATCTGACTGAAAATGCTGCGTTTACTGAAGTCGGTCGCTTTTTTCTTAAAAAACCTGAATGCCTGATGATCCCCCTCAGGTGCCTCTCCCACTGATGGGACTGACTAAAAGGGTATTTCCCACCGGATCTAAATCTAATATGGTTTCCATGGCAACATGACAGCAAGATCAATAGACAGACTTCCCTCTGGGGTGTGTGTGGGTTGGGGGGATGTATTTTACATATGCGTGTATTTGATCTGTGTTTTGCCCAGGCGTTTGCTTGAGTATGTTTGTAGGCTTGTGTGTGTGAAGAGGCAACGTGTGTATGTCTGTACTTGTTTTTGTGTGTTTTGGAGCAGGAGTGTGCGCGCGTGTGTGCATGTGTTTTCTCTCTCATTAGCTCAGACGCTGGCAGGAGCCCTGGGCGCACTCGGCAAAGTAGTAATTTGGAGACTGAAAGAGTGAATGATCTGCTGTAAGAGGAGCGAAATCAACAACTGGACTCTAAAATGAACAGAGCCTTTAGAAAACAAACACACACACACACACACACACACACCTGCACTGATCATCATACGGTTTGTATCATGCACCACATTTTAGCTCTGAAAAAGCTGTACTAAACAAATGGCAGTCATTTTTGTAACAGTACTGTACAGCAGCTTCGAATGCAGCTCAGCCAGTCATGATACTACGATTAATAAAACCATACTAGTTTTGTTTAAACTGAGGGGCAGACAACTTATTTTCTTACTAGAACTAGTCTGATCAACTAGTTAACAGGCCTCAAAGAGAGCTAACAGGCTAAACAACTGTTCCACTAATATTACAGGCTTTGAATTTAAGTACTTACTACATGATTCAGTGTAAAACTTCAATATTTACTACTAAAGAAAATGTCACTTTAATGTCTTACATGTTTCCAATTTCTGTGTTTTAGTTCTGCCTTAATTAGCATCAAACCCAGACTGAATCTCAGATGTCTCCCTCCTCCCTATGTAGAGGGAGCTGTTTGAGACTTAGTCTGGGTTCAAAACAGCCCTAGCCTGAGAAAAGGGATGTACAACAGTGTTAGCCTGCTGCTAAATAAGACTGGAAATTGCATAGAGGTGCTAGTGGAAATTAGCGTCATTGTCGTGGTGGTAATTTGGAGAACAAAAACTACTAATAAAGCACAGTTTTTTGCATTATTAAGTGCCATATTATGATATGTTCATTGTTATATGACAAAAGGTTGAAAGGTTCACCAAGTGACTGCCATATACAGAGATGGGTGACTAAACATTCTTCATCTCTTTCAACTGGCAACGGTTGCTTCGCAACAAAAACATGCTCTAAAGGAATTACATTTTTGGGGGGAATACCTGTTTACCTTGAGTATAATTAATAATAAATTATTTATTGAAAAAGTGCATATTGTAATTTACGTTGTCGCCGTTTTTGAAATCTCTTTTTTTATTGTTTAATCGAGAAATGCAGTGTTATTATAAAAAATGTTTTTTGAGGTCATTTTCAGGTCAAAAGGAAATCCTTTTGTAGTATCATTCAGAATATGTTTAGAAATTAACTTGTAAAATCATGAATGCAGATATCCTAGACACTGAGATTTTTGGTTCTAAATGTAGAGATGAAAACGGTTTTAGGAATGGGCCTCATAACTGTATTAGCCAGTGAGATCTGAGAAAACACGTACCATTTTAGTAAATGTTGTCAATAGTACAAATGAAAATACACGTATTTGGTTATACTATTGAGATTCTACAGAAAGATGCATGACAACAGAGTTTTTACATTTTTTATAATACAGTGTATGTATGTGTATTACAGTGTATAATAAGCAAGCAACGTTGCTGCAAAACGCAGCAAAACACTTTTGGAACGATACTGAAAACAACTACATGCTCGACGAAATGAAGGATTTAAATATTGTTCATCTTCTAGATGATGGATGTTTATATTTTCAGGCAAAGCGGTGCGATGGTAAAAAAAAAAAAGCCGCAGCATGAAGTTTGAGTTTTACATTACGTTTCCGTTACATCTTCTTCTTTATTGGCTGGTTGCAAAGCAGAAAAGGTGGTTTATACTGTTATAGATGCAATTCAATCAAAAAATCTGAAAAATGATTGACGAGACAAAAATCTGCATTTCTGCATGTAGTGTCTTGCCTTGTTCTCTGTTCTGATTGGCTGCCCTGTACTGTACTGTGCCTCATTCAAAAAGCAGTCCAGACCGCAACAAACTGTTAAGTTTCTCAGAGATGTTGGAAAAAAGGATGTGTGGATCCTTTAGAAGGCTGCAATGATCCCCTTGCATCTCAACAACCAGGAACAGCACCAAGTTTTTTGCTCCACATGTTCCACTCCAATAACTCAGCTTCAGACTCTGCAGTAACAACACTGCACATCACTTCTCTGTGAATGAATGCTAAACTGCTGGTTGTAAGCAAATGTGTTCATGGTTGTGATATCACAATGCTGATATTGCATTTTATGGCTACTGTAAAAAGCATTTAATGTTAACAAAGTACGCAAAACTTTATTTAAAAAAAGCAAGGAATGTTCCATGACATGGGCCACAAGTCAAATTTATTTACAGGAAGCCTAATGGACAAGAAAAATAAAAAATGAAACTATTTCTTACCCTGAAACTGGTGGAGAGGATATGGGTTTCTCTGTGCTTGACTCATCTGTCTTGGAAGATGCTGCTGCTGTTGCTGCTGCTGTAACTGCAAATAAAACACAGTTACTGCTCACACTCCACCTGAACACCTCTGCATGCATAGGCTAAGCAACTACACAAAAAGGACAATGGAGTTTAAAGAACTAAGAACTAACAAGTAAGAACTAAGCTTGATGAGCGTCAGTTTTCTTTAAAAAGGAGAGAACTTTATAGATCCAGGAGAAAGAACACAGTGTTATGCTTGTGATGAAGGTTGTTGTAGGCATGGCAGAACAACTGTACACAGAGGAGGAAGAGGTGTGTACATGTTTGACTTCCCATATCAGTTTAAACTCTCTTTAGCAGAATATTCCCGGCAGTAGGAGATGAAAGAGCAAATTAAAACAGCAGGTGGTGTGTGCACACTCGCTAACACATTACTTTGATCAGTGGAACTTCAAGTGTGCGTAAGCAGATGCTCCTTTAGTAAAGCAATACCAACAAAACAGCAGTAATTTCATTGTTTACTTAAGGTATATTTCAGCAAGGGACAAAATAGAGGAAACACTTCAACTAAAAGGCACATAAAATTTTGGGTTTAAACATTATGATTTGATGTGTGTACAACTGTTCAAAGCTGTGTTTGCTCGTCATGTACTAGGTAGCATTTTTGAGTTTTGATGTTTAAAAATAGCTAAAATTGTCATTACTGAAACAGTCACTACTGAAACATTTGGTAAAGTTTCAGTAGTGTTGGGTAGTGATAAAATGGAAAGTTCAGCCATTTGTTTTAATGAAATAAACATAATTAAAGTACAGGGTCACTCAAAGCAAAATTATTTGAGTCTAAAGTCAGTTTAGAGTCCGAAACAAGTGACTTTTTTGGTAGAATGATCCATATGGACTATTACATTCCTACAAGCTTCAGTTGTCATAACACTGGCTGAGGTGAAATGACAACAAAAGCATCCTTTATAACAACTGATGATTGTTGTAGCAAGTCTTTATAAAGGTTTATGTAGGTTTATATCAGTTGAGATGAAAAGCTTATGTAGGTGTCACGCAGCCATTGCTGAACAATTCAGCAGCTACCCTTTTTCCTGTCCATTAAAGGAGAGAGACCATTCTTAGCACAGCAGTGACACTGACATGGCAGTGTGTGTGGCGGTGATACAGGCACAGCAGTGTTGCTGGGGTTGGATTGAGAATAGTCTTTCAACCAGAAATATCCAGCTAATAGTTGTCCTGTGGTCAGAAACTGACCACTGATTAAGGGCTAGAGCAGGTTAGAGCACAGAAATCACCATCACTGTGTTGGAGATCCTCCAGCCCTCCAGGACTACAAACTGTGCATGACAAATGAAGAGGTATAGTAAAGTGAAATGAGCTGTACAGTTATGTGCAAAAGTTTGGGCACTTCTGGTCAATTTACATGTTTTGTTACAAGTGAAAAAACACACACGTCCGCACATTATAATGCAGAATTACTGTTTATTTGCTGAATTTGACACACTGGGAAAAAACATTAAATGTAGCCTTTGCACAGGTGATGGTACATTTTAGATTTTCTGTTTTTTTCCACAGTATGTTTTACTCAGCACAAAAACAGAAATTGTGCATTAAAATTTGCATATTTAAGTTCTCTGTAGAGGTATGTTAACTTATTTTCACTTCAACAAAATATATAATTTAACCAGGTTTTCAAACTTTTGCATACGACTGTGGATAGATGTATCTAATAAAGTGGAGAGTAACTATACAGAGTCTATACAATCCACAGTGACACCTCTGTGACTGTCAGACTCATATCAGTGCAATACCCACTGGCATGCCCCTACTGTGCTGCTCACTGTCACTGTCACTGCTGTACTGCTTGTACTTGCCACCCACCTGCTCTGCCAGTAGGTGGTGCCTCTGTTCCCTCAGTAGCTGAGCTTTCTGCTGCTCCATCATGTGGTGCTGCACTCTTTTCTCCTGTTCCATAGCCATCATCTGTTTCATCATGGCTGCTTGCTGCTGTTGCTGCTGCTGCTGGTTGCCCAGGTAACCACCTGGCCCTGCCCCAGGTCCTGCCCCATTCGGCCCTGCAGAGGCCACACCCCCTGGACCTCCATGAGGGGGCTGGACGCCACCGGCCTGGCGTGGCATCCCCACCATGCCCTGTTCCTGCAAGAAAAATGAAAGCAGAGAGAGAAAAATGAGGCAAGAACTTGAAAAAGACTGGAACAATAACAGCAATCACAGGAAAAAAGGGGAACTTTATTCAGCGTGAGTTTGTCGCTTTGAAGGAGAGAGATTAAGGTCAGGATGACTCAACAATGAAAAGACTGGCCATTATTAATACATACCACAGTCAAACAATGAAGTAAGTTGTTAAAATATTATCCACTTTTAATTACCATGTTTTGCATAGCAATCCACTGTCATAGCAGTGCAAGCCTGGACTGCCAGACCACGATCCTGGACACCTACCAATCTGTAGAACTTCTTACGAAACCTAACCACACATGGTTATTCAAAGAGTCCAAAATATTTAATTGGAAGATAAACAAGGAAGTCTTTAAAAAGAAATCATTAAAAAAACACTTGGGCTGTCAAAGTGCAGACACTAAATTATTAAAGCATTTTCCAAGTTTGACTCTTGAAACTATCTGTATTCCATGTTGAAGCTTGGCTACTCATGTGCTGTATGCTGCTATGACAGAATCCAGGATTGTATCCTGACAAATACAGCGTTTAAGTGGCTTTTAAAGCAATACCTTCAGCAGACTGTGCTGGATAGAGCTCACAGGAGACCTATGGATAAATCAATGAGCAGCAAACTAACAAAAGCAACAGCAAATTGGAAAAGTCTAGTTCCCCTCAACAGCCTCCACTGTAACAAGAACATTATAAAATTAAAATGAGCTGTATAAACGAGGGAGCGAGAGACTACGATGATGGCTGGAATTATTCACTATGTGTATTTAGGATATTTATGATATATACACTCATTGGCTGCAATATTGCTCTCACTGGACATTGGTGATGAAAACTGGAAACTGTGGTCACCCTGTAGATATCACATGATTGAGTCCCTCAAAGAGGCTTTGGAACAACCATGATCTTCAGCGGTCAGTGTTGAAGCATGATGCGTTTGTTTGCTTTTGGACATACAGATGCTGTATTGATGTACTAGTGGAGTTAGCACTCTCTCACTCTCTCTCTCTCTCTCTCTCTCTCTCTGCCTTTAAAAGCAGACGCTTCACATCCATCCAGACCGGACCGGTCGATAAGTGCAAATCTCCATGGACGCTGCAGGATCTCCTCACTTAACCAGGCAGGCTGACGAAACGAGCACCGAGCAGCATGTATGTGTGTGTGTGTGTTGTCCAGAGTGGCCAGATGAGGGCAGTGTTGGTCTATCCTCCCTCCCTCTGAATCGTCATATCTCTATTTCTTCCACCTCCATGCCTATCTTGCAGTCATGCACGCCCTCTCTCTCTCTTTTTCTCCAACTCCATCCCTCCATATCTCTACTTATCTCGCTCCCTCACACCCCTGCTTTCTCTTTTTCAACCCAAACTCTACCATCCGTACTCTCATCTCTATCTCTTCTTTACTCGCTCACACTCTCTCCGCCTCTCCCTCTATCCCCCCTCCCTTCCTCTCTCTTTTCCTCTCTCTTTCTCTCTCTCTCGATGGCTTAATCATGAGCACTGTAATATACATCCCTCTCTTCCTGCTGGATAATGTGTCTGAGCCAGACTTCTCCTCAACTGAGCATGACGAGAGAGAGAGAGAGAAAGAGAGAGAGAAGAGAGAGAGTGAACTGAAAGACAAGTGATGAAGTCGAAGCAGAGGAAATGAGAGAAAATGAAAGGATAGACAAACAAGGAGGAAGAGAGAAAGAGAAAGAAAGAGAAAGAATGCAGGAGAAAAAGAGAAGTGAAAGACACAAAAGAAAGCGAGACAGGGAGAGAAAGAAAGAGAAAGAATAGAGAGAGAAAGTGTAGGAGAATAAAGGGGGGAGAAAGAAAGAAGGAGAGAAAGAAGTAAGAAAGAATTGCAAGAGAAAAGAGTGAGAGAGAGAAGAGAAAGATGACACAAGAGACAGATAAGAGAGAAAACAAGAGGGAGAGAAAGAGAGGAGAGAGAGAGAGAAAAGAAAAACAAGACAGCAGCGCTGAGAGTCAGGAGAACGAGACAGAGAGACAGGTATACTGTGAAATGAGGAACATGAGTGATATAGAGCAGGAGAGAAAAAGAAGGGACAGAGGAAGGAGAGAGAGAGAGAGAGAGAGAGAGAGAGAGAGCGAGAGAGAGAGAGAGAGAGAGAGAGAGCAGGTAGCCAGGCAACAGCGGCTGTAATGTTGAGCAGATGGTGCTCATAGGAGCCATGATGGACGACAGCGGGCGGCAGCCTCTAACAACACACACAGACCCAGGGGAGAGAGAGAGACAGAGAGAGAGAGAGAGAGAGAGAGAGAGAGAGAGAGAGGAGCGTAAGTAAAGTGCCATCCCTCTTTTATTCCTGCCTCTGCCTCTTTCTCTCCTCATCCCTCGGTACATCTCTGCTCCCACTGTCCACCCTCCTCCCTCCCTCCCTTTCTCTCTCTCTCTCTCTCTCTTCCACCTCCCTCTTTTTCTTTGTTTTCACTCGCTCCACCTGGTCTAAGCACAACACATGACAACACACACCCACATAGCGTACACTATATGACATCTGTATCGAAACACACACATAACATACACACACACTCAGCACACACACAGTGTAACGTGGAAGTGTTCCAGCAACGTGTGAGTGACTTAGCAGCTAAAGAGAACAGCTACTCAGCCATGGAGCTTATGACTGCAGCCTCTAGCATTATCATCTATATTAGCTATCAGCATAATAATAATTTCCATTGAGTTTACATCATCTGGTTTGTTTGCTATGTTATAAAATAAAAACAAAGGAGCCCTTAAGTAATCACAACTGTCTTTAAGCACTACTTTGTCCATCAAGTGAAGGAAAAAACAAATTGTAAAGAAAAAAAAAGAAAGACAAAATTGCTCAGAAAAAACCTGCAGTGAGAACAGCGACAGTAGTAAATTAGTCTGAATTACTAGGCTAAGAGAGGTGAAAAGATTTCTATTGTATTCACCAAAGCTGTAAAGATTTGGATCAAAATAGGTAGAAAACCACACAGCTCAAAGTCAAAATTAGCCAAGAAATATATATATGAGAAATGTATAATCACCAATGCTTTTGGTTAAAATGTACAGTAAATTTTTGATAAACGCTTGATATTTGAATAGGCTGTTGTTTTATTGAATTTGAGGACTGTTTCTGAATTGTACGCATGAGGTCACAAGAGCACAACTTGTTCCGGTAGTCCTACTTAGTGATGCGCAACTCCAGGTTTTCTGGACCTCGCAAATGCCGAGATCACGACTAGGACATTTAGCCAGATAACACAGAGCTAAGGTAGGATACAGTTGGCTCTTTTTAAACTTCACGTTTCATCTATTGAAATCTATTGTTTTTCTTATTTTAGCTGCTGAAAGTTAGCTCGATAAATTAACTACACAAGTCAGTCTTTCACAGCATTTCTTGTCTTTTTGTCATAAGGGAGCACACACTAGACAATAAGGCAAACAGAGACTATAACACACACAAGGAGTTTTGACACCGAAAAAGAAACTCCCCCATTACTATGAGACACGAGTCAAGCTAAACTGGACCAGAACTGTTTGTGCTTTTATGCATAGTGAAAACACAAACGGAGGATGAATACATGGTGGAGAAATACAGACATTACAGTGAGAGACAGAGAGTACTTCACTACAAACTGACAGCTGACTTGAAATTGTAAAGTGAGTGACTTGATGTCTGGATCCATAAATTATATACATGATAAAGGCTTTTTTTGATTGCGTTCAACAAGCAGCTCCTGCGTCTCGGCGGCCCACCCCGCAGCGTGCATGTCTCTTTGCCTTTCTTCTCTACTCTTCTAGCTCTCTAAGTTAGAAAAACCAAACATATTTGAAAATCTATGATCACTGTAAAATCTCTGTTTAATTTCACTGTGAACTTGTGCATCTTCGTTGTTTGGGAGCTGTAAAACTTTCAAGCTGATTTTGAACTGCAGCAGCTACTGAACTTCATTTCATTTGGAAATTAAAGCTATCAAATCATTATTTTAGCAAAAAATTAAGCTCCTAAGACACATTGATGAGTGTTATAAATCATGTCCAGTAGCACAATAAATGATTTAGCTTTAATTTGCTTCCTTTTCCTTCATCAAATTAAGAGTAATATAACATGACATTCACAAATGTTTTATTTTTTTTACATTAAAAATAAATGTGTTCGAAAAGCTCTCTTTGCTTTGTCTCCAAGCAAAAACAAAGATAGCCATGTTAGCGCCAAAACAAGGTGGGCTTTTCACAGGTGTTAAACAGCACAGTCAATATTTATCAGTTTTGGTAAATATTATTATTGGTAATAATATATATTATTATAATAATCTTACAGTATTTTGCGCTTTGAGAGGGAAACTCCTATACACGCATATGCAATGAGGCAACAGCGCAAAAGAGCAGCAGCTGCCCCTTTCATCTGCGCCTATTTATTAAATTAAATAGCGACAGACATTTTTATTGTCAAAATAGGGTTTACTAAATGGCACAGAATGTAAGTAAATCTGCCCCGTGCATCATTACTGGAACCAAAAATGATGTGGTGCCTGTGCTGTAATTGACATTTGCATACATATCTGATACCCAGCATGTGCACTGCCCCAAACACACACACACAGAGCAGGTTATTAGTGTGAGAGTCGACTACATAAGCATCCAATTTGGTTAAAGCAGCAGGCTTCAGGGTTTCTGCCCCTAAACACACCAGTAAACACTTAGAGCTACTGCAGAAACACACACACACACTCTCTCTCTCTCTCTCTCTCTCTCTCTCTCTCTCTCTCACGTGTGCACTGAGCAACACAGACAGGACATAGAGAGGATAGCGAGAAACTGCAGAATGCACAATATTCAGATCTACAGTTCAGTGCAGACTGATCGCTTTCATTGATCATGCGCACACACAGCACACACTGATTGATTAGCACTACTGAGCTTGGCCCTGATCACACACTAATCTGAGAGGCTTGCTCCCTACATCCCTGTTAATAACACACCAC